AAAAATTTCGGAGGTTTTGGTTGATTTTGGTAAGAAAGTTTTGGTAGGGAAAAAAATTCTGGTTGACACGAATGTGTACTGCACGCATGTCGATGTCGCTTTCATATCGTATCACGTATCGCATCGCATATCGTATCGCTCTAATGTGCGCCATGCCTAAAACTACCCCTAACTTAATGCTTGCAGCAACAGTAAATTTTTCTAAACTGGACTCGAATCGTAACATCCGTTCGCGGATCGAAAACCATACGAAAGAAAATTACGTGATACATCAATCGTAAAAGCTGAATGGAATAAAGAGTGCGTTCACGTATGTCGTAATCCGAAAATGTGTTTTTACGTGACGATTAATACGATATCGTATGTCGGCTGACTGTGTAAGCAAAAACAAACTGTGCTGTTAGCGGCTGTTTGCTTTTGCTGATTTATTTGTGTTAGTCGCAGCTCAAGATCTCAAGTCGTAGATCAAGAGCTGCTTGCTTTAAAAAGCAAAGAGTGTTGCTTATGCTATTCTGCAGTCAGCAATTCAAGCCCTGGTTAGGTGTAGCTGCGCTAGGGGCTAAGTATTAAAAATAACTTTGATGCAATGGAAATAAAGTTGAGAAGATTTCGAAAATTTATTTAACATTTTGTCTTACCTGCTTCCATTACGCTCTTAGGAGCGCGTTCATTCTCCTCCATAGTGGTACGTTTACGGTTCTTTGCCTTCCATGCATGATATACCTTCAAACGACGATGAAACTCCTGTCGGCAAGCCTATAAAATATGAAAGTTGGTACCGAATGAGTGTTGACACGTGGAAGCTGCATCAGTCGCACAAGTACAACTTACCTCAAGCAACTCAATATCACAAGACGTGTTTATTGCATCACGTAATTCCGAATATTTCCATTTGGATAAATCGTATTTTTGTTTACCCAACGCCTGCTGTTGAGCGCGAACATTCTCGGATCTGAGCATATGAAATTTTTTAAACAAAATTAATTGATGAGGAACTTCCGCTGCATTTATGTAAGTATGTACATATGTCTGTATGTATATGAGCATGAAATGACATAGCAATGTAAAACAATAGCAGCGTATGTATTAATAAACATAAAATTTCTTCATCAAGTTATACATCGGATTAAACAGTAGTTAACTGAATTTTCAGAAATCTTGCATTTTCAATTGCGCGGGCGTGTTGCTAGTGATAATGTGAAAGGTAATGTGCTTATTAGTGTGAAAATTTTGTTTGTTATTATAAACTTTTATAGTGGGTGTGAACATTTACATTGGCGTCAGAATATAATCATCACCGTCTGAACAAAATTGTAAGCGACTTATTTACAAAGCACATTTTTCATCTTTAATAATACGACAAATTTTATGTATTGCATTGATTTTATTTTTTTAAATAGACAATTTTAAAACATTTTCATTTTGGAAGTCTGAGCATATCTTTTTATATATCGCGCAGAAATTCGCTTATCATGAAAATTATGTGGGTCAGTTTAGCTTTGCAAAATCAAACGCAAATATGGGAGATGCAATCAAAAACAAAAATTTAAAAATTTAGTGATTTGAATCAAACGAACGTTTAAAATTTTTTCTATAGGTTTTCAACTCACTTATTAAAATATCGAGTTGCGAAGGTTGTAACACCTCGCGTAAAACTTTTTGCGTAAAAATAAAGTTTTGAAAATGTTAAAAAAACGAATACATCTTATTAATATTTGAATCCAATATATTTAATAACTAATTATTAAAACATATATTTTTTACTACGAAAACATAATCAAATATATACAGTTGTCCACAAAATAATAGGAGTGCTATATTTTGACCAGTTTTGATTATACTGCTTTTTTTGGTTTAGTGTATTAATTTTTAATTACAGAATAGCTCATTTTCTAACAAACCACTAAACCCAAATTTAAAACTATGTGGAAAATTTGTAAAAATTTTCACCAAAATTTTTGTTTAATTAAAAGAAGGTGAAAACCCTTTTAAAGCTCAAAATACTTTAATGTTTAAATAGCAGATTTTCTAACTGTTTCGTTTGACACTCATATTTTAATACATATTTCATTTAACTTGTGTACAGTTCAATAAAATTCAAATTCTCAAACAGTTGGCAACCCTCCTAAATGTAGTTTAGAAATTAAACATTTTCAAAAACCTTTCGATTGATACCATAACATAATAATTCATATCCTTACTAATATTATAAATCTGATAGTGAGTTTGTTTGTTTGTTACGCTTTCGCACTTTAACTGCTCATTCGATTAACATAAAATTTTTCACACTAGTGTCATTAAGCCCAACTTAGAACATAGTATCTTTTATCTCGATTAGAAAAAGGGGCGTGGCACCGTAAATACGGAATTATTTAATACTGAATATCTTAGGAAGAATATACTTGTAACAGAGCACTGGAATTTGGTATAAAAATCCCACCGGTTCACAGTGCCGCGACTCCATACAAATGATGGACAAAAATAGAAGGAGTGGTCAGAATTGGCTGAAACTTCCCACCTAGAAGTATTATGCCCCTCTAATACCAAAAATGAAATCGGTTTTTCTGTACCGGTTACTCATTTCGAGAAAACCGAGTTTTTCTTGCATTTTTATATGAAAATAGTCATTGTGGACATGTGTTGATATAAGTGGAAGGAGGCATCAGAATGGGCTGAAACTTTACACCTGAAAGGACTATATCACGGCAATTTAAGAAAAAAAAAANTGAAACTTTACATCTGAAGTGTCTATATTACTCTAATTTTAAGAAAGTAATCGGTTTTTTTGTAACGGGTACCCATTAAAAAAACACCGAGTTTTTGCACATGATTATTTAAAAATGAATTATGGCATATCATTGTTGCTAAGTGTTCAGAAAAATAGTCTTAATAGTCAAAATTCGTCTAAACTTTATTTCCTAAGTGAATACATTATGGTAATTTGAAAAATTAAGTCGGTTTTCCTTACATGTTAACCTTTAGAAAAAAAAATTCTTTTGATATCATTTAAAATAAAGCATAATCACTGTTAAGTAAGTAAGTAATAATAGCTGTTATATGGTAATAACATATAATATGTTAATAAAAACCGAACTAGTTGTTATAATCACTCAGTTTCAGAGTCCTCAGAAAAGGAGGATGTGATCACTGATTCAAATGATTCCATGCTTTTGTCTGCTTCGTCACTTT